AGTAACACCCACAGTGTGTTCTGAACATCACCTTCACTTTACACATGCTGGTAACTGAGTATTGTAATGCCAAACACAAGCACGAGGGAGAAGGCCTTAGCTTCTGCCCTACACCACATATTCCCCTGTATCTTAGAGACGTCCACATCCGCTGAGTGCAGGTAGTAGTTATGATGGGGGTGTATACACATGACACTATACCTACAGGTGTGTGGCACTTATCTGCGTGGGTGTCGTGTGGGCTCTAACTACCTCCTCTGGGAGTGTAGTAGCCTGCTGAGGGCCCCCTGAAGGCAGGCCAGTGGGCCCAACAGCCATTCTTCACCCTATGCCAGATATTTACACTGCGAGGAGTGGCCAGCTCTTGATGTGTGTGTGTGTGTGTGTGGGGTGTGTGTGTTGGGTGTGTGGGGTGTGTGTGTGGGGGGGGGGGGTGTTGGGGGGAGGGGTGTGTGGGGGGGGGCTGGGGAGGAGAGTTCTAAACAAAAGACATGAGAGAGTCTTTGATAACAGTGTACTATAGGCTCGAGGGAGAGGCCTGGCACAGAATACTGAGAAGTGCCCATTCCAGCTCTCTCTCTCTCTCTCTCTCTCTCTCTCTCTCTCTCTCTCTCTCTCTCTCTCTCTCTCTCTCTCTCTCTCTCTCTCTCTCTCTCTCTCTCTCTCTCTCTCTCTCTCTTTCTCTCTCTCATTTCTTCTTCAAACATTGTGCATGACCATATATATATATATGCTGCCCACTCAAATGCGTGAATATTGAAATAGTTAATATAGGCGTAAAATATATAACCTATAGAGACCGATACCATCTCAGCTACACATGTGAACAACACATCCTCCTAGAATGAAAGTACTTATAGAAACTGTGTTTGAAAGTACAAATATGCGGTGATGGGCCGCCAAAAAGTTGACTCTTGAAGTAATGAATTTGGATAAACCGGAAAAGTTTGAATATTTATTTTGATAATAAAACGTAATCTAATTATTCTAGGCCTAATATAAGCTATCTGAGGCCTAGTATGCTACATAGATGTCCTAAACTAGGCCTATGAATATTTAAGTTTGGCTTTTAGTTTTAGACTATATAAGAAATAGTTCATACTGGGCCTCCAGTACTACATAATGGAACGATCAACCTATTTGTGCTTGCAGGATCGAACATTGACTCTTGGATTCCGCCTTTCTAGAAATCGGTTGTTTACAGCAATGACTCCTGTCCCATTTCCCTATCATATCTAGTTATAAAATTATGAATAGAGTTTGCTTCCACACTCTGCTCCTTAAGTGCATTCCATTTTCCCACTACTCTAACGCTAAAAGAAAACTTCCTTACATCTCTGTGATTCATCTGAGTTTCCAGCTTCCACCCATGTCCTCTCGTTCTGTTAGTATTACGTGTGAATATTTCATCTATTTCCACTTTGTCAATTCCCCTCAGTATTTTATACGTTCCTATCATATTTCCTCTCTCCCTTCTTTTTTATAGTGTCGTATGGTTCAGTTCCTTCAGGCGCTCTTCATATACCATCCCTCGTAACTCTGGGACAAGCCTCGTCGCAAACTTGTGTATGTGTGTGTGTGTGTGTGTGTGTGTGTGTGTGTGTATGTATGTGTGTGTGTGTGTGTGTGTGTGTGTGTGTGTGTGTGTGTGTGTGTGTGTGTGTGTGTGTGTGTGTGTGTGTGTGTGTGTGTGTGTGTGTGTGTGTGTGTGTGTGTGTGTGTGTGTGTGTGTGTGTGTGTGTGTGTGTGTGTGTGTGTGTGTGTGTGTGCGTGTGTAACACAAGCCTACATTCCGACATTACTGCATTCAAACATAGTTACACCCCACACCTCACAACACCTCACTCCCCCCCCCCCCAAACACACAGCTATACCGACATGTCATTATATCCACACATAGCTACACTCATTATATCCACACCTCAGTACACCCACACACCAGTCAGCAGCACACTCCACACCCACAGGAGCCCCTGTGTGCTGAGCGAGGAAGGGCCCCCAACGGGGCTGGTCAACCCCAGGTGTACTCCTGCATCTGTGAGTCAGCTCCAATATTGTGTATTTTTATTTACTCATTATTGGACGTCTCAGATAATTATAATTTTATATGAAATACCTGAGGGATATTTGCTTACAGGTATTGACGGCTGTGAGGCGGTCATGCAGAAAGGTAATACTAGGGGGGGCGACACGCAGGTAACACTAGGGGGCGCGACACGCAGGTAACACTAGGGGGCGCGACACGCAGGTAACACTAGGGGGCGTGACACGCAGGTAACACTAGGGGGCGTGACACGCAGGTAATACTAGGGGGCGCGACACGCAGGTAACACTAGGGGGGCGCGACACACAGGTAACACTAGGGGGGCGCTACACACAGCTAACACTAGGGGGGCGCTACACACAGCTAACACTAGGGGGGCGCTACACACAGCTAACACTAGGGGGGCGCTACACACAGCTAACACTAGGGGGGCGCGACACAGCTAACACTAGGGGGCGCGACACACAGCTAACACTAGGGGGCGTGACACACAGCTAACACTAGGGGGCGCGACACACAGCTAACACTAGGGGGCGCGACACACAGCTAACACTAGGGGGCGCGACACACAGCTAACACTAGGGGGCGCGACACACACCTAACACTAGGGGGGCGCTACACACAGCTAACACTAGGGGGGGCGCGACACACAGCTAACACTAGGGGGGCGCTACACACACCTAACACTAGGGGGGCGCTACACACACCTAACACTAGGGGGCGCGACACACAGCTAACACTAGGGGGCGCGACACACAGCTAACACTAGGGGGCGTGACACACAGCTAACACTAGGGGGCGTGACACACAGCTAACACTAGGGGGCGTCACACAAACACACACAGATATACTCAAGATCGTAACCATACTTACATTAAAACCAGGAAATGCATTATTAACCTTGTTCTCGCCCACGCTCATCGGCTCGAGGAGGGGCGTAGTGCTGGTGGGCGGAACGACTCCCAGGGATCTGGTGGGCGTGTTTGGCCGCCCACCACTCATCATGGCCGCCGCTAGACCCGCCGTGGGCGCCGTTATGCCGGCGGGAGAGGCGGCGAGGGCGCTGGGATTGGGCGTGAGGGTGGGCGGCGGTAGGGGTCCCTGGGTGGGCGGCGTGCTGCTGCTGTTGTTGTTGGTCTCGATGGTCGGCTTCACGTCCATGGACTCCTCGTCCTCGTCGTCAGAGCCGCCCGTGAAGGAGTCTGAGGGAAGGGCGGCCATCACTCCAGGTTACCTACAGGATGAATGGTGATGATCCTAGTTCACACCTACACTACACCACCACCCTGCCACCCAGCCGCCCACAACCCCGCCGCCCACTCCACCCTGCCGCCCACCACCACCCTGCCACCCCGCCCACCATCACCCTGCCACCCCGCCCATCCACCTAGGTGTGCTTGCGGGGGTTGAGCTCTGCTCTTCCGGCCCGCCTCTCAACTGTCAATATCAACTATTACTGTGTACTAAGTAACTGTTTTTTTTCACACACACCCAGGAAGCAGCCCATAACAGCTGGCTAACTCCCAGGTACCTATTTACTGCTAGGTAACAGGGACATCAGGGAGAAAGAAACTTTGTCCATTTTTGTTTCTCGCCAGCACCGGGAATCGAACCCGGATTACGTGTCCAGCGTGCTGTCCACACAGCTACCGGCGCCCCTGTGTGCGCCGTGTGTGTGTGTGTGTGTGTGTGTGTGTGTGTGTGTGTGTGTGTGTGTGTGTGTGTGTGTGTGTGTGTGTGTGTGTGTGTGTGTGTGTGTGTGTGTGTGACCATCTATAGTTTTAACTCCCCAATCGCTTCTGACACCCGTAAAGGCTTATTTGTTTAAGCTAATGGGAACACTTTGTGTCCAATATAAACAAATGTGTGCAAATGACCACAAAACACAAGAGTTAAGATATTTCAACATATTTCAGCCACATAACATTCCATATTAAGAGTCAACATATATCAGCCACGTTAATGTGACTCATCGCCTGCATACAAGAGTTACCTTCCGCTCTTAAAATCATTTATATCGTAAATTTCAAACCACATACCAAATTCCGTTTTCTAAATGTATCAACAAACGAATATTTTCGTAGAATAAATCTCACCGATTTATTTTTCTATCAGAACAACCGGGGACAAGAATTCCGCCAGCGACAAACAAGGGGGAGGATTGAAACAAGTCAAACAAGGACTGCCCCCTTTTTCCCCTCTAGGAATATCACCTTTGCTTCACCTCGCCTTAGGGTCCAAATACCCGAGTGCTCTACCTTCCCGCTGATTACATCCTGCTTCACACCTGCTAAAATTAGCGACTTTAACGAGCTGGAAGATGCTATAGAGCGTGCGAGGCAGGGGGATGATGAGGGGGTGTACGGGTAGATGAGGGACAAGTGTGTGTCAACACCTTCAAGAGGGTGTAGATACACCTCTAAACTACTCTACTACGACAGGCAGATTATTATCTCAGGAAACGTGTTTGGTCTTGTGTCAGCGGTCATCTAGTACCCTAATCCATACATTTGGTATCCTACCCATACGTCTGGTACCCAATCCATACATCTGTTACCCAACCCACACATCTGGCACCCAATCATATATATATATATATATATATATATATATATATATATATATATATATATATATATATATATATATATATATATATAAGGGGGTACCACCTATGGTTGGAAGAAAGGGGGCCCCTTAGCCTCGGAGAAAAAGCACACATAACGCAATAGAAGAGATTTTGCCCCCCCCTTCCAATGGAGCTTCCAGATACATATAACAGGGTTACATATTATTAAAATGACAGATAATGACAGATTAGTTATTATTTTAAGCAAAACATAATTTTGCTCTCGTGGAACTAAAAGTTATACAAATAACGAACCTTTAACATATTAGCTCCAATAAGTGTAGCATACTAATATCATGCAAGCCTAGCATATTAGTAATATCTACAAGTCTAGCATACAAACAGCATATGAGCCTAGCATACTAGAGTATACAAGTATGTCATGACCTAGAACGTGACATACTTGTATACTCGAACCTCTGCTTTGATTATACAGGACTGAGAATGACAGGTGTTTCTGGGTATGTATGTATGTATGTATGTATGTATGGGGAGGAGATATACAGGTGTCTCTGGATGTGTATGTATGTATGTATGTGTGTATGTGGAGGTACACATGATGGTGGACAAGACGTACATGGCGAGTATCTGCTTCTTTCCGTGTACAGTGTGCGTCTGTGTTCGTGAACGTCTCTGAATGCGTACATGCGCGTGGATTTGAAGTACGCACATAAATGTTTACATATAAGGCGAGAGCTCACGTACATGCGGTCTGAACACGCGTGGACATGTACATGAACTTGTGTAAACATACGCATGTGGGTGTACATGGGTAGATGTAAAATGAGAAGGTGTGTGTACATAAGTGTGACGGTGCGTATGCACATGCGTGTTTGTTTCTCCACGTGCGTGGGCGTGTGCGGTCGTGCATGGAAGCGTGCGTGCAGCCCTCCCACGCATCAACCCCCCCCCCCCGCCAACGTGCTCACAACACATCCTCATATTTCCCACATGACAGATTTCTGAGGCATGTCTAATATGTCCAAGACATATCGTACACAATATGGAACCCTCAACGGATTTTAAAACCTTACCTAACCTTACCTAACCTGACCTGACCTGACCTGACCTAACGTAACCTTACGTAACCTTACCCAACCTGACTTGACCTAACCTAACCTAACCTAACCTAACCTAACCTGACCTAACCTAACCTAACCTAACCTAACCTGACCTGACCTAACCTAACCTAACCTAACCTAACCTGACCTAACCTAACCTAACCTGCCCTAACCTAACGTAACGTAACCTTACCCAACCTGGCGTAACCTGCCCTAACCTAACCCTCCCTACCCGCAGGTAGAGTGGTAGAACCACCCCCAGCATGAGCCAGGGGCTGGCGGGACGGAGTGGGACGCGTGTCTGGGAGCGTGGCAGCTGCCAGCACCTGGGCTCTGATGGAGTGCGACGCTGCTCTTAAAAAGCTGTAAAACGCACAAAGAGGCCCCCGCCACCAGCCATTAATTCCCCCGTCGCCGACGCCGCACACACACCAAGTAACGATGGAGCGACGAGATTGGCCCGTGACGTGAACCGCCCGGAGGATTATTGCTGGCGGGAAACGCCCCCACCGCCCGCCCGCCCGCCCGCCCGCGCTGCTGTCTTGAACGGGTGGCTTGCACCGCCGGCAGCGCCTTCTCTGCGCCGCGGAGGGAGATTAGCGTCTTGATTAGCCAGTGTAGTAGTCTCCAGTCATCTGCCTGTCATCCTCACCAGAGGAACTAATCGGTCAGCACACCTGCACCGCCACACCTCTCAGCCTCACCTTAATTAAACAGACAGTACCAATATCATCGTATGTGGCCACTTTCTTACTCATTGTCAGCCTTCTCTCACTCTCTACGTTCACTCTCGTCTTTCTCTTCCTATTCGCTTCCTCTTGGTCTTCTCAGTTATTCCTCCTTCTCTTTCCCTTCATCCTTTCGTCACTTTACGCTGGTGGTCTTTCATGTTCTCTTAATTTAATAAACAATACACGGCTTCCGGAACTGAAGAAGAAGAGTTCCGAGGAGAGGCAAGAGGCGTTAAGCATGCCAAAACTAGAAGATAGAAGAAAAGAGAAGTGATATGATCACCACTTATAAAATACTAACAGGAATCGACCAAACCGACAAAGAGGAATTCATGAAACCAGCAAATTCTAGAACAAGAGGACACAGATTCAAGCTAATGAAACAAAGGTCTGGACTTGTAATCCTAGGGTCCGGGTTCGATCCCCGATGATGGCAGGAAACAAAACGGGCAGTTTCTTTCACCCTGATGTCCCTGTTACCTAACAGTAAACAGGTACCTGGGAGTTAGACAGCTGTTACGGGCTGCTTCCTGGGCGGGGGGGGGGGGTGCGTTAATTAGTAGAATTAGTAGTTAGTAACAGTTGATTAAACACCTCCACAAGGGCCGTGACGAAGCTCTGACGATGACGATTGGGGAATTGTGTTAAAACCTGGTTTGTGTCTCGGAGAGGCTGCAGGATCAGTGGTAGGTCAAGTTGATTTCCCGGTTGCAATTCTTATCCATGTCGTAGCTCAGTCGATTAAGGCAGCGTCTGGGATCCTCTCGGACGTAGGTTCGAACCCTCGTCACGGCTCTTGTGGATGTGTTCATTTGATGCATCACGTTACTGTGATTTCTGTGTGTAATGAAACAGATGATTGACAGTTGAGAGGCGGGCCGAAAGAGCAGAGCTCAACCCCCGTAAACACAACTAGGTGAATACAACTAGGTGACTACACAGTCACCAGAGCACCGTAAGGACCACTATTATGTGTGTGATACGCCTAGCATCCTCCTCGCTCCTGGTAACGTTACTACCCCTAGTAACTAGTAACTATATTAGCCTCGTTACTGCCGTCTCTCTAGCCCCTCTTCTCTCTCTCTCTCTCTCTCTCTCTCTCTCTCTCTCTCTCTCTCTCTCTCTCTCTCTCTCTCTCTCTCTCTCTCTCTCTCTCTCTCTCTCTCTCTCTCTCTCTCTCTCTCTCTCTCTCTCTCTCTCTCTCTCTCTCTTCTAAACCTTCATTTTTGTTTTTATACAAATATAAAAGGTCCGCATCTCTTCCTCCCGCACCTCTGCCTCCTGCACCTCTGCCTCCTGCACCTCTGCCTCCTGCACCTCTGCTTCTCGTTGTCTGGTGAGTTACGGTTTGGTGTCGACACCTCATTTCACGCCCTGGTGGCTGGCATGTGAGGCAGCCAGACTGTGGCACACCTTGGCACCTGGCATTCCATTCCCAGTGGCACCCTGTGTCCCCCCTCCCCCCCCCCGTGTGGCACACCTGACCCTTGCTCTCTTCATATTGTTGACACACTGGCACTGCTGCTCTTATGGCACCCTGGCACCTATTCCTCTCCCAGTTATAAAGTTTCTTTAAAATCATATTAGCTACCTTTTTCGCTTCATTGTTGGGTGCCTTGTTAAGGCAGCTCCTGGTCGTCTTTAACCACTGTAGTTCCCGGTAGTTTCCCCCCGAGACGTGCTGCCCTTCATCTACACCAGGGGCGCTACACTAGGGGTGCTACACTAGGGGCGCTACACTAGGGGTACCCTTGGGGCTATGGGCACACAGGTCTTGTAGA